GATTGGGTTCACCTTTTTGCAGGCTGCAAGTTCGTAGCTCCCGTTGTTTTTGATGTCTGTCTCCAGTGGCTAAGGTTGGTTCAGTGCGTTGTGTAGGCTTCCTGGTGGAGGGGACTAGTGGCTGTGTTGTGGTGTATGAGGCTAGATCTTGTCTCTCTAGTGGGCAGGTCCACGTCTGGTGGTGTGTTTTGGGGTGTCTGTGGACTTATTATGATTTTAGGCAGCCTCTCTGCTAGTGGGTGGGGTTGTGTTCCTGTTTTGCTATATGGTTGGCATAGGTTGTCCAGCACTGTAGCTTGCTGGTCGTTGAGCGAAGCTGGGTGCTGGTGTTGAGATGGAGATCTCTGGGAGATTTTCGCCGTTTGATATTATGTGGGGCTGGGAGGTCTCTTCTTGACGAGTGTTCTGAAGTTGGCTCTCCCACCTCAGAGGCAGAGTCCTGACTCCTGGCTGGAGCAGCAAGAGCCTTTCATCCACTCGGCTCAGAATAAAAGGGAGAGAAAGTAGAGAGAATTAGTATAAGTAGGAGGAAATAGGAAAGAAAGAAAGAAAGAAAGAAAGAGAGGAGGGAAGGAAGGAAGGAGGGAAGGAAGAAAGAAAGAAAGAAGAAAAGAAAGGAAGAAGGCAAGAAGGAAAGAAAGGAGGGAGGGAGGGAGGAGGGAAGGAAGGAAGGAATGAGGGAAGGAAGGAAAAAATACAGAAAGAAAGAAGATACAGTAAAATAAAATAAAGTATAATAAAGTTATTGAATTAAAAAAATAATTATTTAGAGGAAAAAAAAAAGGGAAGGATAGAACCTTAGGACAAATGGTGGAAGCAAAGTTATAGAGACAAAATCTTACATAGAAGCATACACATATACCCTCACAAAAAGAGGTAAAGTGGAAAAAATCATAAAACTTGCTCTCCAAGTCCACCTCCTCAATTTGGGACGATTCGTTGTCTCAAAAAGGGAAGGAAGGAAGGAAAGATAGAAAGAAGGTAAAGTATAACAGAGTTCTTTAAATTAAAATTAATTATTAAGAAAAAAATTAAAAAAAAAAATGGTCGGATAGAACGCTGGGACAAATGGTGGAAGCAAACCTATACAGACAAGATCTCACACAGAAGCATACACATACACATTCACAAAAAGAGGAAAAGGGGAAAAAATCATAGATCTTGCTCTAGAAGTCCGCCTCCTCAATTTGGGATGATTCGCTGTCTATTCATGTATTCCACAGAGGCAGGGTACATCAAATTGATTGTGTAGCTTTAATCCGCTGTTTCTGAGGCTGCTGGGAGAGATTTCCCTTTTTCTTCTTTGTTCTCACAGCTCACAGGGGCTCAGCTTTCGACTTGGCCCTGCCTCTGCGTGTAGGTCGCTGGAGGGCGTCTGCTTTTTGCTCAGACAGGACGGCGTTAAAGGAGCCGCTGACTCGGGGGCTCTGGCGCTCTCAGGCCGGGGGCAGGGAGGGGCACGGAGTGCGGAGCGGTCCTGCGGCGGCAGAAGTCGGCGTGACGTTGCCCCAGCCTGAGGCCCGCCGTGTGTTCTCCCTGAGAAATTGTCCCTGGATCCCGGGAACCTGGCAGTGGCGGGCTGCACAGGCTCCCCGGAAGAGGGGTGGGGGCAGTGACCTGTGCT